CCCCATGCCCCCCCCCCCTTGTCTTTCTTCTCTTCCCAGCCGCAGGGCTTACTGTCTACATCTCTTCCCTGAGCATGGCACGGCCAAAAAAGCCTAGTGTGCTTGATCTGGGCCTGGGCACGTGGGGCCTTGGTGCCCAGGAGGAGAGCCACAGGGCTCAGGCATCTTCCAGAGGCAAGCAGCTGCCGGAGTACAAGGCGGTCGTGGTGGGCGCAAGTGGTGTGGGCAAGAGTGCACTCACCATCCAGCTGAACCACCAGTGCTTTGTGGAAGACCATGACCCCACAATCCAGGATTCCTACTGGAAGGAGGTGACCCTGGACCATGGGGGCTACATTTTGAATGTGCTGGATACAGCTGGGCAGGCCACTCATAAGGCCCTGCGTGACCAGTGCTTGGCTGCTGGGGATGGTGTGCTGGGTGTCTTTGCCCTTGATGACCCCTCATCTCTAACCCAGCTGCAGCAGATGCGGGCCACCTGGGGCCCTCACTATACCCGGCCCCTTGTCCTTGTGGGCAACAAGTGCGACCTTGTGACCACCGCTGGAGATGCTCACGCTGCTGCTATAGCCCTCGCAAAGAGCTGGGGGGCCCCCTTCGTGGAGACCTCAGCCAAAACACGGCAAGGTGTAGAGGAGGCCTTTTCCCTGCTCATCCATGAGATCCAAAAGGTCCAGGAAGCCATGGCAAAGGAGGCTGAAAATAAGTCACGGCACCAGAAGACCATGTGCCACTGTGGCTGCTCTGTGGCCTGAAGGTCTTGATCAAGAAAAGTGGACCATCCCCCAGGCCATGGTGATGCTTCCTTGATATGAGAAACCCGAGCAACTAGCTGTGTGGAACACTGGGTGTATTTAGGATAGATGGACCCCTCCTCTGAGGAGGTTTTCGTTCGGTGGTGGGCTTTTGGTAATCTGGAACATACTGTTGGTTCTGTTTTGTCACGTTCAGAGATTCTGAGCAAAATTAAATAAATGGTGTTCTCAGGTTTCAAAGCTGCCATCATGCCAAGCATTATGTGGGTGGGTGTGAAACTGGTGAGAATGTTACTTGAATTATGAGAACTTTCATTCAAGAAATGTGGGGAAGCCTGCTTTGTGCCAGGCCTTACTTTGGGTGCAAAGGATGTAGAGGCAGACAAGACACACACAAACAAATCCTTGTACATATGGCATAAGGCTATGTATTAAAGGCAGGTGAAGGGAGAAAGCATGACAGGGCGGTAAAGGAAAGCCTTACTGAGTAGGTGACATTTGAGCAAAAACTTGCAGATAACTAGGGGTAGAGGGAACAGAAACTGCAAAGGCCATGACCACAGACCAGCTACGAACACTCCCAACTCCCAATATCTTCAGGACTAGGTAAGGGTACAGATAGATCGGCTTCTATAGAAATAAATATTTAAACATTACAAATCAAGCTAACAAATGTAAAGAAGATATGTCCTGTCATTCTACCTTGACAAATAACACTTCCTTAACGACCTGGAGGCCCAGATTCTAATTTCTGGTACTGCTCAGTTTCATGCCAAGATGTGAACTGGTTGGGAAGGTTGAGCCCTGGCTTTGCATTTCACTCCCCTTTCTCTTAAGCCGGTAGCTTGAAAGTGGCACCAAAGCCTTCTGGGCTCCGCATGCCCGAGTGAGGCCTAGAAGTGGGGCACAGACTAAGGGAGGGGTCTCTAACAAGTTGGACCGAGGCCAGGGGCCGCTCTTTCTCATCTAAGAGCTGCCAGCACCACCCAGCCCACCAGCCCCTAGAAACTGCCACTCACAGACAAGTGCATAGCTGCTTCATTTCATATTTATTGTGGGGCTAGGGTTGGCGATCTTGGGGGTTCAGAGAGCAGTAACTGCTGCTGGTGGGGACCTGCAGGTGTCAGGGGAGGGGTGGCCATGGGCCCTCACTGGCGGAGGAGCAGTGGCGCTGGCCAAATAGCAGTCTTGCCAGCGGGGAGCAGTCGGGTGTCGGAGGAGGAGCGGCCAAGGGCCCTTTCGGGCGGGGGAGCAGTCACGCAGACAAAGACCAGTCGGGGTGTAGGGGGAGGGGCAGCCCTGGACCCGAGGGCACGCAGAATCCTGGCGGTGCTCAGGCCGGCAAGAGGCGGCGCGCCGGGGGCGCGGGGGTCTCCAGGCGTTTCACGCGCAGCAAGGCCCCCAGCACACCCTCAGGCGGCACTTCAGCGCCCAGATCCTGGTCGGCGGCCCGGCGGAGGCGGCGGCGTTGGGCAGCCAAAGCGTCGGAATCAGCGCTTCCCGCGAGGATCCGCCCCAACAAGTACCTGTAGGGGAGCAGAATGAATGTTGTAGGCCTGTTAACGCCGGGGCTGCAGTGAAGACCTGTAGGCGTGTAAATGCCTGGGTGCTAGGACCCAGACGGCCCTGCAACCCCATACTATCTGGGGATCCGCCGTCCCCAGCCCACTGTTTTGAGACCATGTCCGTACTCCTCAGTCCTCTCCCCCAAAAACCTGGCTTCGGAGTCCCCCATCCCTGAGTCTGAGAGTGCATGTCCTCCACTGCCCGCCCCCCCTCCAGGCATCTCTATACCCGCACCCTGGGTCCAGGGCCTCACTCCTTCCTAGGATACCAGAACCCAGGTGTTCGCCCAGGATGCAGGCGCCCGCCCACCCCGTGCCAGCTACCTCAGCAGTTCGGGGTCCACATCAGATGTGTCGTCACTGGCGTCCTCGGCCTCCGGGCCCGCTGGGCCATCGTCGTAGATTGGGGGCCGGGGTCGGAGTGCA